GATTTCTCGCTTTCTGTCTCTATGTCTCTCTCTGTCTGTTTGGCGAGCGCATGTGCCCTATAGCAAAAACCTCTCCAAAAAAAAATAAAAAAAGAAAGAAAATGTTTATTTAAAAGGCTTTATAAACATTTATGGAAGAAACTTCTCTAGTGTGTTATAGGAGACAGTCTGAGTAATAACAGTAGCTAATATTTACTAGTTACCTTCTCTCTGGAGGGACAATCTTGAGAATTTTATATAGGATAATTTACTGAATCCTCACTTCAGAGTTTTAAGATAGATACTATGGCCATCTTCATTTTAAAGATGAAGACCTGAAGCACCAAGAGGTTAAGTAACTTGCCCAAGATGGTACAGCTGGGATTCAGGCACCTTCTGCCAGAGTGTCCAGAGTCTGCATTGTACTGTCTCCTACTATTTTCATCATGATAAGAATTGCATTGCTTTTATACCTTGTTCTTTGACACTATTTGTCTGTCCCAGCCTTCCCCCACAGCCAATGTTCTACAATACTTGTTCTCTTGGTCTAGAGAAATTCTTCTTTATAGCTAAAACAGTCTCGCGTGCCACATGACAAAACATGACTCAGCCTCACAAACATTTCTATCTATTCATGCCAAATACAGGAATAATATCCCACTTTTCCAACCAAAGAGAGATCAGAATACAGTTAAGAGGATTTAGATGCATTTGCTTATAATTTAATGTTAAATAAGGACTTTGTAAGCACAATTCTTTCCTATCTGAAATACTGTTATACAATAAAAATTATATGTACTCTAGCAAAGGGATATGTAAATGTATATTCAAATAGGCCATTACTCTCATTAAAGGAAGAATGTGTTGATTTGATAAGTCTTGAAAAGCAACATGGAATAAGCAAATCTAAGGTCTTAAAATGCAACTACAAAAGTAGGCTACTCCATAGACTTAAATATAAAAGGTAAAACAGTAAATTTTAAAAGAAAATGTAGGAGTATATCTTTGTGACATTGGGTTAGGAAATGGTTTGTTAGATATTAAACCAAAAGCTTAAGTAACAAAATAAAAAATAGATAAATTAGACTTAATCAGATCTAAAAACTTTTGTGCTTCAAAGGTCACCATCAAAACAGTGAAAAGACACCCACAGGATAGGAAAGAATATTTGCAAACTACATATCTGATTAGAGTTGAGTATCCAGAATATATAAGGAACTCATACCTTCCAATACAAGAATAAAAAGGCAACGTAATTTAAAAACAGGCAAGGAGCAGGCATTACTTCAGAAGAGATGTATAAATGGCCAGTAAGCACACAAGAAGAGACTCAACATCATTAGTCCTTAAGGAAATGCAAGTCAATATAAATAAGATACCATTTTCTGTTCACTAAAATTGCTATAATTAAAAAGACAGTAACAAGTGTTAGCAAGGATGTGAAAAACTTGGAACCTCATACATTGCAGTGTAGCTGCTTTGGAAAACAGTTTTGAAGTTCCTGAAAATGTTAAGCCTGGAGTTATCATATGATCAGCAATGCCATTCCTAAGTATACACATTCAAGAGAAATGAAAACATATGTCCACACAAAGACTTGTCCATGAATGATCTTAGTAGCATTATTCACAATAGACAAAAAGTGAGAACATCCCAAATATCCATCAATGGGTGGATGGATAAATGAAATGCAATATATGCATACAATGGAATATTATTCAACCATAAAAATGAATAAAATATTTATATACACTACAACATGGATAAACCTTAAATAAGCTAAATGAAAGAAGCCAATCACCAAAGACCACGTATTTATGATTCATTTTATACAAAATGTCCAGAATAGGCAGATCTATGGTGATAGAAAGTGGATTAGTGGTTGCCAGGGGTTGAGGAGAGGGAAGAAATGAGAAGTGACTACTAATAGGTATGGAGTTTCTTTTGGGGGTGTTGATGAAAGTGTTACAAAATTGATTGTGTACAAAACTCTGTGACGAAAATGAAAACCATTTAATAACAGTTTAAATGGGTGAATTGTATAGTATGTGAATTATAGTTCAATAAAGCGATTTTTAATAATGGGTAATTTTCACCTATTCATAATCTCCCAGTGACAGTATTATACCAAATAATAAAAATGAGATTTTGTTAAAAGAACTCTGAGTGGTTCACTAGATTTGCCAAAGGCTTGTGTCTTAACATAAACACAATAGCATTTTTATCTTGGTGACAAACTTAAGGCCTTCATCTCAAGGGCCCCAAGTTTTATATACAAACACAAATGGAGTCCAGAATTTCTTTATAAGCTATATACCATTAACATCGCATGTATAATGAGCAGCCTCCTGTTACAGGGCATTAGCCAGCATTCTACCTTTTCAGCTTTGTACTCCTAGCCATTGTGTAGTAAATGCCTCCATGTGGTCACCATTTGAGTTCTATTGCTAATAATATTACTTGGGAGATAGCTTCAGAAGCTCTTACTGGTTCTCTAACACTAACTTTCCCACTTGCATTTTTTGTTTCTATCTGGATTATTTCAGAGCCCTTATTTGGAGTTATCGAAGGTGTGAGTGCTGGTTTGTTTTTAATTGGCATGCTGGTAGCTGTCATTGCCTTATTCATCTGCAGACAGAAAGTGAGGTAAGTAAAAGATCCCTTTGGTGGTTGGACCCACCACTATAAATATGCAACTGAAAATTATCTTTATCTTGAAACATTAGAAGGGAAATAAGTTGACTTTTCCAAGTTAAATCACTATTGTTTTCTCAATAAAAACAAAATTCAAACTCTAAAATCATGACTCACTTTTTTTCAGCTTCTCTATATGCTATTGATAAATTAAGCCCTTTGGAGATGTCTAAGAAGACATCTGTAACTTCATTTAAACATGAAATAATTCCCTTTGCACAGGAAAGTAACATTTTCGTTTGGTTCATATCTTCATGAAGATAAGAGATGTTGCAAATTGTGTGCCCAAGTGCTTTTCTTTTCTTTCCTTTTTTTTTTTCTTTTAAGGAGGTTTTTGCCTTAGGGCATGTGTGCTTGCCAGAAAGAGAGAGAAACAGAGACAGTGAAAGGGAAAGTGAGAAATCACTCCCCAGGGGGAATGGCCATGCTGTAATCCCTTCTGCTCCATTGGCCCAAGTCACTAGGCCCAGGACTTGAACCACAGTCAGCCATGTGGGAGTCCAGTGACACAACAGCTACACTACCTACTGGCTTCCCCAAGTGCTTTTCTGAAATCTCGAAGTATGGTTGACAATGCCATTTTGTGACTTACATCTGACACCCTAATTTAAGAAGAGACTAAAAAGTACCAGATTGTCTGTTGCTCCAAAGCCATGCCCTTTTTTGTTAGTGAAAATTTTTTTGTTATCTTGTCCTCTCTCTTGCAGTCATTTCTAGCATCTGAGGTTTACTAATTTTTTTTAAGGAAAGTTTTATTGAGAGTGTGGGAAGTGATTACGACCCATAGCCAAAAACCGTGAGACGACTCTTCAGTTATTGCTGAGATCCGTTTCTGAGTGGGAAAGATCTATTTCTTTATGTTCTTCCTCTACTTTCCCTCCCTCAAAGAGTTGTTGGCTGAGTGCACATCTACATGAATGCTGAAAAAAATCCATATCTGCGCAAACATGCAAAGCCTTACCATAAATGGAAAAATTTGTTCAAATCAAGTGTCATAATCAGAATAAAAATCCTTTCTCTTACATTTCAGCCATGGTCGAGAAAGGTCCTCCGCCCACCTGAGCATTCGTAGGGATCGACCATTATCAGTTCACTTGAACCTAGGCCAGAAAGGGTAAGCACCACATTTCTTGCACATCATTTATTGAAAGATAGTGTTGTGTGAGATTTGCTAATGAGGTCTTTCTTCTTCTTTTGGCTTCCCTTCACAGTAACCGGAAAACGTCTTGGTAAGAGAGAGAATTCATTAATTACTATATTATCTGCTTTTAAAATACAACTCGAACTGGTTGTGGCATTTTCTCTTTACTTTAATAACTTTCTTTTTTTTTTAAATTATAGCCCAATAAAAATAAACCAGTTTGAAGGGCATTTTATGAAGTTGCAGGCTGACTCCAACTACCTTCTATCCAAGGAATACGAGGTACAATTCAGACAGGATGAAGTCTTAGCATCCCTCATCATTAGCTGAAGTTCTCTCCTACCCTTTCCTGTGAAGTCATAGGCTGATTGGGCTCAGGAGTTAGGATGACACTTAGGCTCTCAGCTGAGCACTCCTTTAGGCCTGAAACTATTCCCTGCACGATATCCCACATAATCTCAGAGGCTCATTTGGGCTCCAGAATAGCACGGCAAAGTGCTGCCCAAATCAGATGATAAGTAAAACGTAGCCAAGTTCCAGTGCAAATCTAACGCTGTCAGTTATCTAGTCTGACAATGTGCTTGATGGGGAAGCAATATGGTTGGGCAAAGTGTGCCCAGACTTTGGATTCAATGCCCAACTTTGCCACTTGTGTGACCAGGGGCAAGCTAGTTGTCCTGCCTCAGCCTCATCTGTAAAATAGAGATAAAACATACCCCATGGGACTGTTGTGGTCATCAGAGCTAATGCACACTGAATATGAGAATTGAATACCTGAACAGTAGCTAGTGGACACATTTTATAGTATTATGTCTCTCGAGAATTATATGAGTTTCTTTACTCTATTTCATATTCTCACTTTCAATCTTGTCTTTTTTTTTTCCTAATAGGACCTAAAAGATGTGGGTCGAAACCTGTCATGTGACATTGCACTCTTGCCAGAGAATAGAGGGAAAAATCGATACAACAATATATTGCCCTGTAAGTTTTGTGCTGAAATGTATAATACAGTCTTCCTTTAGCCATTTCTGCTCTTTTCCAGAAATAAAATGGGACTAAGGAAATAGGATGCAACTGGGTATGGAAGATTTCAGACTCTCAATGCCGTTAATAAGGCATACAATGACTTGTTATGTTTCTGCACTTCCCCCAGAGGGATAATGGCTACTTTAAATTCTGGTTATGAGAGGCCTCTTGTGCTGTTGACATTTCTATGTGGTCCTCCTGCTTCTCCTTGGAGGCTTAAAGCAGTAATGGGATTAACAGCAAGGACCTTGACATCAGGCTGACCTGAGTTCCCTTGACAAGGTCTAATTACCATTTGAAAAATAGTTCCTTTACCCCATTAGGTAAAGCAATAGAAGGTAGATTTTCTGGACTGTATCATTCCAGCAGTGGAAGAACTGACTACTCCATCAGGCAAATGTTGCAGTGTTGCAAAGGAAAGCATAGAGTGGGCTTCACATTGTGTCTTGTGGCAACCTGTGGCAAGTTAGTATCCTATCTGAGTCTCATCTGAAAATGGAGTGAAGAATACCTCCTTTTTGGGACTGTTGTGCTGATCAGAGCTAAGATACAAATATAATATCAACACATTACATGAACTAAGGAAAAATCACCCTGAGACTCAGTGACAAATCTCTCAATAAATTTCCTTCCAGATGATGCCTCGCGAGTAAAGCTGTCCAATGTAGATGATGACCCTTGCTCTGACTACATCAATGCCAGTTACATCCCTGTAAGTGAACCACTAGCCGACATGCCTGGGATGAAGCTTTGGTGGTGGCCACCCTGCATGTTCCCTGTGCTCTCAGCTTGTAGACTTCAGAAGACAATGTCTGGTGGCCATAAAACATGGGGTATCCAACTCAATCACTGCTGAGCATCTTTTTCTATAATAACTGTAGTTGTACAAAATTAGAATCATCCAGGTATGAATTTTCAAAGGTCGTTTTCTTTCTACAGCTTTTAGCCAAGATTAGAGATCCCTAAGGAATATGGGCCACCACTGCTAAGACTACCCTGTTAGGGAAGTCAGCCCCATGTTATTTAGATTTCTGAAAAGTATGGACACAACTCAAGGGCTGTGTTAAAACTTTGGCTCTGATTCTAGCTACCATTTCACCAAATTCCTACAGCACACTACAATGGAAAAGGCTTTAAGGACAGACAAATCCAGGTTTGAATCCCACCTCTGTGTATTGCTAGCTCTAGGATCTTTGGCATGTCACCTCATTTGGCCTCGATTTCATTTTCCAAAGACTGAAGATAATGTTTTTCTCAGTCATCCATTCACTCCATAAACACTTACTCAGCACTAACAATAAATCAAACAGATAATGTTTTTCTCAGTCATCCATTCACTCCATAAACACTTACTCAGCACTAACAATAAATCAAACAGGGGGCTGGCAGGTGACGTGGTGGTTAAGGACACTGGACTCCTAACTGTTTATCGGGGTTCAAGTCCCAGACCTGGCGGCTTACTTTCTCACTTTTCCTCTCTTTCTCTGTCTTTCTTTCACTCTGTCCCTTCCTGATCAAATTAAAAATGAATGAATAAATAAAGTTTAAAAAGAAATCATTCTTTTTAGAATTTTAAAAAATAATTATTTATTAAATTTTATTTATTTATTCATTTATTTTTAATTTGACAGAGAAGAGAGAGACACAGAGAGAGAGAGAAAAGGAGGGAAGTGAGAAAGCAAGCCACCAGGTCTGGGACTTGAACCATGGCCAGCCATGTGGGAGTGTCCAGCGCCACCTGCTGCCCCCCGCAAAAGAAATAATTCTTAACAACAACAAGAAAAATCAAACACTGAACTATGTACAGGGATAGGATACAATGGGATCCTGACCCTAAAGGAAGTCCTTGAACAGTTGGGGCATCCGGAAATTATAAGGCAATGCCGTGAGAAACATGCCAGAGCACTGCCCCTGCAATGTCAACAGGATCTGCATCAGCTGGGCATCTGGTTAAAATGTATATTCTGACTCAGCAGTGAGGTGGAGCCCGAGATCCTGCATTTCTCTTCTTGTAAGTTTATTCATTTATCTCTTCCATGTAAGAGAGAAAGACAGAGACAGACAGGCACCCCCAGTAGGATCCTCACACCATGTCCCACCCCAGTCTCGGGCAGCCTGGATCACTGGCACACATGCATGCAGTGTACAAGGAGATCTGGGATGCGAACTGGGACCTTTCCCATGTGGTTCTCGCTGTATTACCACTGTGTCACTGATTGGTCCTGGGATCCTTTATTTCTCACAGACCCCCAGGTGATCCCAGTGCTGCCGGTCTGAAGGCCACATTCAGGGTGGCAAGAGGTGAGAGATTGCATAGAACATGTAGCCAGAGACTATCACATGTGGAGAGGAAAACAAAGGAAGGTTTGGCCAAGCAGCTGACATTCTGAGGATAAAGAAGAACTAGCCAAATGAGAGGCAGTGTTTAGGTGGACAGGGGGTACAGGTGACAGAAGTGACATCATGTGGAGACTAAGGACAAGAAAGGTAGAGCTTCAGCTAGGATTTACAAGTCATTCTGTATTGCTGGAGTATAGAATGATGGAGAGAAAATACCCTAGCTCAGACTGACCCTGGCATTACAGACAACCTGGAGCCCACATGGCCTACCAGGATATGAGACCCAGTCCCAATGACTTGAAAATAAAAAATAACACCAGACATGCACTTGTGCATGCCCAGAGTCCTGATGGACTGGAGATTTGGAGAAGAAAGAGTCATGGCATGACCAGGCCCTACACAGGGATGTTTTCTTTCTCTCTCACTCCTCTCTTGTGTGCATATGCATCCTCTGGCATTACAATATGTATATATACATATATCTTAGCTCGTAGAATTGTGGTGAGAATTAAATACAATCTGTGAAAGTCCCGAAGCACTGCACATTATGTGAGACGTGCTCAGTAAAGAGCAATTTCTCTTCCATTAAGATTCCCTTGTGTGGCATTTCTTATCAAATGATTCTAATGTCAATTATCCAGAATGTCTAATATTCTTCTACTTTAAAGAGACAAAGAGTCTGATCAAAGTCAATCCCTCTGGCAATCCACACATGTACACAAACAGTTGCACACCCACACCCACACCCACACACACACAACCACATAATTGAAGGTGAAGTGTTCTCTAGGTCATTTCCTGAGTCCTTCCTTTGCTTTTTAGAACAGTCCCAGCCTAATCAAAGGGAATTTGGCTCTTAACAATAGTTCAGTGTGCTGGCCTTTGTCCTTCCTGCTCCCGAGGCTTCACACTTGTGTTAGTATCTTTTTCTCAAGGCAGAGGCCTGGCAAAGACCTCCATATCACCTCATCTACAATGTTCACTCTTTGTTTAGCTTTCCGATGAACTCCATTGTTTCTGACTCTCCATGTTGTAAATTCATCACAGGGCAACAGTTTCAGAAGAGAATACATTGCCACTCAAGGACCGCTTCCTGGCACCAAGGATGACTAATAACTGTAGTTGTACAAAATTAGAATCATCCAGGTATGAATTTTCAAAGGCCGTTTTCTTTCTGCAGCTTTTAGCCAAGATTAGAGATCCCTAAGGAATATGGGCCACCACTGCTAAGACTACCCTGTTAGGGAAGTCAGTCCCATGTTATTTAGATTTTTGAAAAGTATGGACACAACTCAAGGGCTGTGTTAAAACTTTGGCTCTGATTCTAGCTACCATTTCACCAAATTCCTACAGCACACTACAATGGAAAAGGCTTTAAGGACAGACAAATCCAGGTTTGAATCCCACCTCTGTGTATTGCTAGCTCTAGGATCTTTGGCATGTCACCTCATTTGGCCTCGATTTCATTTTCCAAAGACTGAAGATAATGTTTTTCTCAGTCATCCATTCACTCCATAAACACTTACTCAGCACTAACAATAAATCAAACAGATAATGTTTTTCTCAGTCATCCATTCACTCATTAAACACTTATTCTACACTAACAATAAATCAAACAGGGGGCTGGCAGGTGACCTGTGGGTTAAGGGCACAGACTGTTTATCGGGGTTCAAGTCCCAGACCTGGCGGCTTACTTTCTCACTTTTCCTCTCTTTCTCTGTCTTTCTTTCACTCTGTCCCTTCCTGATCAAATTAAAAATGAATGAATAAATAAAGTTTAAAAAGAAATCATTCTTTTTAGAATTTTAAAAAATAATTATTTATTAAATTTTATTTATTTATTCATTTATTTTTAATTTGACAGAGAGAGAGACACAGAGAGAGAGAGAAAAGGAGGGAAGTGAGAAAGCAAGCCACCAGGTCTGGGACTTGAACCATGGCCAGCCATGTGGGAGTGTCCAGCGCCACCTGCTGCCCCCCGCAAAAGAAATAATTCTTAACAACAACAAGAAAAATCAAACACTGAACTATGTACAGGGATAGGATACAATGGGATCCTGACCCTAAAGGAAGTCCTTGAACAGTTGGGGCATCCGGAAATTATAAGGCAATGCCGTGAGAAACATGCCAGAGCACTGCCCCTGCAATGTCAACAGGATCTGCATCAGCTGGGCATCTGGTTAAAATGTATATTCTGACTCAGCAGTGAGGTGGAGCCCGAGATCCTGCATTTCTCTTCTTGTAAGTTTATTCATTTATCTCTTCCATGTAAGAGAGAAAGACAGAGACAGACAGGCACCCCCAGTAGGATCCTCACACCATGTCCCACCCCAGTCTCGGGCAGCCTGGATCACTGGCACACATGCATGCAGTGTACAAGGAGATCTGGGATGCGAACTGGGACCTTTCCCATGTGGTTCTCGCTGTATTACCACTGTGTCACTGATTGGTCCTGGGATCCTTTATTTCTCACAGACCCCCAGGTGATCCCAGTGCTGCCGGTCTGAAGGCCACATTCAGGGTGGCAAGAGGTGAGAGATTGCATAGAACATGTAGCCAGAGACTATCACATGTGGAGAGGAAAACAAAGGAAGGTTTGGCCAAGCAGCTGACATTCTGAGGATAAAGAAGAACTAGCCAAATGAGAGGCAGTGTTTAGGTGGACAGGGGGTACAGGTGACAGAAGTGACATCATGTGGAGACTAAGGACAAGAAAGGTAGAGCTTCAGCTAGGATTTACAAGTCATTCTGTATTGCTGGAGTATAGAATGATGGAGAGAAAATACCCTAGCTCAGACTGACCCTGGCATTACAGACAACCTGGAGCCCACATGGCCTACCAGGATATGAGACCCAGTCCCAATGACTTGAAAATAAAAAATAACACCAGACATGCACTTGTGCATGCCCAGAGTCCTGATGGACTGGAGATTTGGAGAAGAAAGAGTCATGGCATGACCAGGCCCTACACAGGGATGTTTTCTTTCTCTCTCACTCCTCTCTTGTGTGCATATGCATCCTCTGGCATTACAATATGTATATATACATATATCTTAGCTCGTAGAATTGTGGTGAGAATTAAATACAATCTGTGAAAGTCCCGAAGCACTGCACATTATGTGAGACGTGCTCAGTAAAGAGCAATTTCTCTTCCATTAAGATTCCCTTGTGTGGCATTTCTTATCAAATGATTCTAATGTCAATTATCCAGAATGTCTAATATTCTTCTACTTTAAAGAGACAAAGAGTCTGATCAAAGTCAATCCCTCTGGCAATCCACACATGTACACAAACAGTTGCACACCCACACCCACACCCACACACACACAACCACATAATTGAAGGTGAAGTGTTCTCTAGGTCATTTCCTGAGTCCTTCCTTTGCTTTTTAGAACAGTCCCAGCCTAATCAAAGGGAATTTGGCTCTTAACAATAGTTCAGTGTGCTGGCCTTTGTCCTTCCTGCTCCCGAGGCTTCACACTTGTGTTAGTATCTTTTTCTCAAGGCAGAGGCCTGGCAAAGACCTCCATATCACCTCATCTACAATGTTCACTCTTTGTTTAGCTTTCCGATGAACTCCATTGTTTCTGACTCTCCATGTTGTAAATTCATCACAGGGCAACAGTTTCAGAAGAGAATACATTGCCACTCAAGGACCGCTTCCTGGCACCAAGGATGACTTCTGGAAAATGGCGTGGGAACAGAATGTTCACAACATCGTCATGGTGACCCAGTGCGTAGAGAAGGGCCGAGTGAGTAAGCAGACTTCCAGATGTCCAAGCTTTGCTTTCTGCCACCTAGATGGAATTCTGTCCCACCATCCAAAGTTAAACCCCACCAAACTAAGTAGGGTCATGTGAGAACGTCATTAGTGAATTGTCACTTCGTTATAAAAAGCTCTGATAGCAACTTCTGACTCTGAGTCTGATATTTTAGTCCATGCTGTTTCCACTTGGGTTATCTAAAGTGCATATCTCACAGGAAGAGTACCTGGTCACTTGTCCTGTCCAACCTTTAGTGTATGGCCAGGGAGAGGCCCCATCAAAGTCAGTGTCAGGCTATGTCAGGAGACACAAAGTAATTTAGTCATCTGGATCAATTAAGTAAACCTCTTGTCCTACATTTACATCCTCTGCTTTATATGACTACTTTCAGAATTAAAAGAGAGATTATATGGTAAGTGCCCAGGACCTGTGCTCAGTGAATATAGGTTCACAATCTGCTTTCTTTTGTCCTTGCCTTAGCTAGACATTACGATTTCTCAAAGACCCCTGACATATGACCCAGGTTAGGACAGTGATAAAAGACTATGAGCAAAACAGGGCCAGAAGACCTTTCTCTGTGCACCTGGATCTTTCTTCAGAAAGAATGATAAGTTGTAAGCCATGGTGATCTGGTAGTAGAATAGGAATACTGAAGAAATCAATGAAAAGCCTCAGCCGTGTAACACCGGGCCTGTGCAGTGGATGAATCCAATGTTGGAGGGGAGGGCTTCTTCTGCCTTCCCCTCTTCTCTTGCTGCAGCAGTCCAGCTTCAGCACTGGCCATGAGCAGGTTAATAAAAAGTAGATGGTCAGTTGCTTTAAAGCTGACCCTGGATCTTAACTCAGGAAGGTATTTTTAAGAAGGAAGAAGTCTAGGTTCCCAAAGATGCCAGGTTTCTAGACTCACTTTTCTTCTGTCTGTCCTCTTCTAGGTAAAGTGTGACCATTACTGGCCTGCAGACCAGGATTCTCTCTACTATGGGGACCTCATCCTGCAGATGTTATCAGAGTCCGTGCTGCCTGAGTGGACCATCAGGGAGTTTAAGATATGCAGCGTATGTTAGTTTGCTTGACTTCATTTATCAACCCAGCTTGGCAAGATGGAGGAGATCTATGAATCCCATGTTTTGCATTTTCCTCACCTATAGTTTCGGTGCATAGGAATTCCTGCATGGCACAGTTGTCAAATTTCAATGTCTCCTTTGGGCTATTTCTCTGATTTCCTTGATCTCTGCTCTTACAGGAGGAACAGCTGGATGCACACAGACTGATCCGCCATTTTCACTACACAGTGTGGCCAGACCATGGAGTCCCAGAGACCACCCAGTCCTTGATCCAGTTTGTGAGAACTGTCAGGGACTACATCAATAGAACCCCGGGTGCCGGACCCACCGTGGTACACTGCAGGTACTTAGAGACCGAGGAGCAGAAAATGGCAGTCCTCTGGGGGTTGTGCCAGGGAGTCTGAAAAAAGGCTCCTCTCTCCTTGTTCTTCTTCCCAATATATGAAATGCAAGGTCCTTATGTGATTTCCAGGCCATCCATAACGGGGCCCTATCTCACCCTCAATCTAAGTTCCCAGCAACTTTCCCTCTACTTAACCAAAAAGATGATTGCATAAATGTATTCTTGTTTCTTGCCATTCGTACTCATTGGAATGGCTTTATCTCTGTTCATCTATATCAGCCCTACCCTTCCTTTGAGATCCCTGGTCTAGACTTCCCTCCAGGTCTAGTGGCATATCTCAGTCCATTTGTGCTGCTGTAACAAAATACCATCAACTGAATAACTTACAAAGAACAGAAATTTGTTACTCATAATTCTGAAGGCTGAGAAATCCAGAATCAAGGTGCCAGCAGGTTTAGCATTTCACAAAGGCCTGGTTCCCACTTCCATGAAGGCACCTTGTAGATCCATTTTCCAGAAGGGATGAAGCCTGGGTCTCCACATGGAGAAAGGGACAGAAAGGCAGAAGGGTCTAGTAATTCTCTTCCACCCTTTATCCTGAGCATGAAGCCATCATGGCCTACTCACCTCGTAAAGGCCCCACTTCTCAGTACTATTGCATGGAAGAGTAAGGTTCAACATGTATTTTGAAGGGAGACAAACACTTAAACCACAGTTTAGCACTTGCCCTCTGTAGCACCAAATTTCACTATTAGATTTCTCTTCTCTCTTGAGTTCTCTTTTCTTTATACAGTCGGTCCATAAAATCAACCTAACGAGTGATCTCTTTCTCTCCAGGGAGCTCGGTGTTTAGCTAATTAATGTTTGCAGCAACACTTTGATAGCCCTAACCGAGTGGCACTAATAAATAAAGAGCCAGGAATGGCCGCAGTAAGACAAATGTCAAGTGCACTCCCTTTCTCGCAATCAGCCCAGCACCCTAGGAACCCTGCTTCTATTATATATGTCATTGGAACCCTGAGGCTTTTAATAGGAATATGAGGGATTCGAGAGCTTCCTGCCTTCTGGAGAATGGCAAACATTTTTGCCTGGGACCACTGAATAACTATTCTTTCTGAGCTGACAAATGTGTACATCAGAAATCTCCAGATTATACAACTACGTTAGGCAGAAATCTGGCAATTATGAGTGAAGCTGAAGGTGTTCACGCCCTCTGAGCAACCCAGCAGTTCTGCTGTATCAGCCCCTGGGAAGTCACTGTGCATGTGCATGATGATGTTCGTTGCTACACATTTTTAATAGAGAAAAACTAGAAATGATCTCATTGTCTATCAGCAGAGGATGGATTAGTAGTGGTTTATGAACTCTGCAGAATAGTTCAAAGAAATTAGATCTCACAATACACAGTAGAAAAGTTGATTTACATAAAGCATGTTACCATTTCAATAAAGTTTTGAAACACATGAAATAAATACATTATTTATGTAAGAAGAGTATAAAAACATGCATAGAAATGATACATACCAAGTACATAACAGTAGTTTTTTTCTGGTGAGATAGGAGAGGGAAAGGAAGTTTAGAAAAAAGAGAAAGCTGGGGCTTCAGGTTATATGTCCCTTAAGAGAGAGAGAGAGAAAGAGAGAAGGCCCAGCCTGGGAGTGAGGTCAATAGCAAACTGTACTATAGTGCAGGAAGCCACATAGCCAACCACAGGTTCAGATCCCTGAGTCAACCTGAAACATGTCAAATGCACAAGCATGTGCCCCAAATCCTAATGAACCAGAGGGCTTGGGGAAGGGGATTGCAGAGTGATGAGACTCTGTCTTGAGTGCTTCTTTCTCTCTCTCTCTCTTCCTCTGTTTCTCTTGTGCATGCATGCACTCTCTGTCATGACCAAAGTAAACAAATTTTTAAAAGAGAGAGAGAGCACACACAGAGAACTATTTCTATATTCTCCCTTAACTTGGAAGAGAAAAGAAAGGGTGTGTCAGAGTCTGGCACATTTGTCACTAAAGACAAATGTAATAAAAAGGCACAATTTTCTTTGCCATCTCTTTTAGTGCCGGTGTGGGTAGGACTGGGACCTTTATTGCCTTGGACCGAATTCTTCAGCAGTTAGACTCCAAAGACTCTGTGGACATTTACGGAGCAGTGCATGACCTGAGACTTCACAGGGTTCACATGGTCCAGACCGAGGTAAGAGCTAGAGAATACAGGACACAGACCATTGTGGGGGGCGGGGGTGGGGAATATATATGTATATACATACACACATATATATATATCTATTCATCTCCAAAGCTTTAATTTACAAGGAGAAATAGCTATGACACATTGGGTAGAGAAAGAACTGAATATAGATATTTTCTAGGAATTTTTATTTTAAACTAATCTCAGTGACCTTGAGAATAAAATATGTCCTTATTTTTACTGACCTGGTTGCCTGGCTCAGGAAAGAATTAATTTAGGAGGGCAGAAAGAAAGATAGGTTAGATTTTTTTTTCTTATCGATGTATTATACACGGGGGAATAGCCTGTCCAGGCCATCTTGATCATTTAAAAAGGCTGGTGACTAAGCAATTTCAATCAGTAAAGAGGAAGAAAATTCCGGTCTCTTCTCTCCTTAAGTCCTGCCTCTTCCACCTGTACCCCCCTCTCTGGAGACACCAAGGGAGTAAATGTCAGTTGTGAAGCCTACATGCTTCCAATCGTACAGACCTTTAACCTTTGCAGGGCATTCTTGAACATGTTATATCATTCAGTCTTCACATTAACCAGGTAAGAGAGGAAGTATATTCTACTTCTTGAACATGTTATATCATTCAGTCTTCACATTCTATTTTCAGGTTGGAAAACCAAGGTCCAGAGGCTAAAGGACTTTGCACAAAGCCCATAGCCATGAAGTGGCCAAGCTGGCTTGGACCCAGATATAGACTCCCAGGCCCTTGTGTACAAAGGCCACTGTCCCACAGCCTCGGGATCAGATATGAGTCCCCTCACAGACCAGGCATATGGCTTCCCTGCATAAATGCCTCCCTAGGCTCAATTCTCTTACCCTTGTGTTTCCCAAATTAATCCCAAGTAACTATGAGAAATCCTCTGTGTAAAAATAATAACAGGGGCTAGCAGTCAATACAGTGTTTAAGCAGCTGGACTCCCACATGGCTGACTGTCATCAGACTCAGTGGCTTGAAAATTATGCTGGGTATGTGTGCATGTCTGCCCAAAATGCCGAGAGGAAAATGGAGGAGAAGGGATTGCATTGTGGATATCACCCCCCTGGAAAGTGGCTTCCTACTTTCCCTCTCTCTGAATCTCTATCGCTCTCCTCTCGCACACACCCTACGACAAAAACCTAAAAATAAACAAATAAATAAGGATAACAATGAAAATTCCATGGTTGAAAGGTGAAAGTTTCACATGCTACTGTACGTATACACTCTTCCAGTCAGAGCACACATGGAAATGCACAGGCAGCGATACTCCTGCAGGAAAGGCTCTCTCTGAGCTTTCTTGAACCCACTATTCCCAAACCATCTTGACCCCTAATTTCTCTTCTTGTGCTCCATCTATTAACATCTTGCAGAGCACAGATTCTGTAGCACATGTGGCAAAAACACTAGGATCATTGCCTCCTCCAGGCAGCGCCCACACCCAAGAGGCTCTGCCACCACCACCACCATCTCAGGCTGGGAATATTTTGATTATAACCATTATTCTACCATATATTGAATGTTTTATTATGAAATTGGTGCATAAAAAATATACAAAGTTAAGAAAAAAAATAGTATCATGCTTTTCCATGTACCCCAAAGTTAGTTTCCAAAGTGATTAGTATTCTGTGTTCTTTTCTCATTGGTATCTGACATACACTTCGCCTGCTCCATGACTCACTGGAATACTTCAAAGCAAGTTCTACTTACCGTATTATTTCACCTTTAAGTATTTCTTTGTATACACTACATATATGTGTATAGATAAATTTGTGTCTGTGTCTGTGTATATGGATATCTATATAGATAGTTATCTGTAAGACCTGTCACTCCATAGATGATAGATAGATAGATTACATAGCTATATCTCACAGATAAAGACTCTTTAAAATCATGGCCACAATACCATTATCACACTTCATGATCTTTGTTTTTTTAATAGAGATTTTTGCTATCGGGTGCATGCGCTTGCCAGATAGACAGAGACAGAAAGCGAGAAAGCATCCCCAAGGGGGATGGCCACACCTCAGTCCCTTCTCCTCCATTCCCCTCTGAGGATTTTGGGCATGAATGCACATGCACCCAATGTGAGTTTTAAGCCACCAAGTCCGAGACTCAAACCATAGCTCACTACATGGGAGTCCAGAGACATAACAATTCCGCCATCTGCTGGTCGCCACACTTAATGATTTTAACTATAATTTCTAAGTATGGTCTAATAGCTAGTCAGAGTTTAAATATCCCTAATTATCTCAAAAAACTACTTTTCTTAAGAAACTAGTTGGTTTTCATTAAAATCCAAAGTTTGCACACTTTATTTGGCTGAAGTATCTATTAGGTCTGTTTTCATCTATAATAATCCTCCCTCTGTTTTCATGCTATTCATTTGTTAAAGAACCTGCTCATTTGTTCTATAGATTTGCCCACTTTCTGGATGTGATTGGTTGCTTTTCCATGGTGGTAATACTGTTCCAGTGTTCCCCAGGGATTTTTGTCGGCAGGTGGTTAGAACAAGAGGCTCGATTAAACCTTGAGGAGATTTCCAGGGTGGTGCTGGGTACTTCCTGTTACATCACATCAGGAGGCAGATCATCCTGTCTGTACAGAGCTTTCAGTACTGATGAAACTGACGGGGCTCAGGGGACGTGAGCCTTACCCATCTGCTATCACATTCCCCATCAACCTTTCAGATAGTGGTTTTAGCAGCTAGACGAGTGCTGTCAAGCTCTATTATTTCATTAAAGGTGGCAGAATTATATCACTCTTTACTGTAAGTGTAATTCTTCTGCTTTCTCTACAAAACCACAAGTTCCTCGAGGGTAGAGAGATGTGTTTTCTTTCTCTACATTCTCAAAATCATTCAGTCTATTAAATGAATGAACAAATATCCTACAATTATGTTGCTAAAATGTCAACATCAATATTTCATTATTCATCTGCCACAACTTCCACAAATTCAAACCATACTTGATTTTTTTTTTTTTATTAGAGAGATTTTTGCTATAGGGTGCGTGCACTCACCAGAGAGACAGAGAAACAGAAAGTGACAAATCACCCTCCAGGAGCAATGGCCACACCGCAATCCTTTCTCTTCCATTCTCCTCTTGGGGTCTTGAGCACACATACACACCCAACATTAGTTTTAAGCTGAAGGTCCAGGACTCAAACTGCAATAGACTATGTGGAGTCCAGCAATGTAACCATTATGCCATCTGCTGGTCCCACCATACTTGATTTTTAATTTGGGAAAGAAGAGATTATCACACTGTAGGTAGTCTCGAGGTGTGTGTGGTGTGCGTGTGTGTGTGTGTGTGTGTGTGTGTGTGTACATGTGCATTCAGGCTCCCTAATTACTATTAGAAACTTCTTGGGCCATGTATCACTTCTATATACCTGTCCAAAACTCTGAGGATACATTTTGGTAAAGAGCAGGAACTCTATTGTAAATATCAACTGGCTGACTTTCAGAACAGAGGTAGCACAATATTCCAAAGCCCTTCCTCTTTCTCCTTAGGAAAAATATCCTTCTTTTCCCTATTCTCTTCTTTTCCTCCTATACGTCTAAGGATTCTGTGGCTTTGTTCTTCAGCCTCTCAAAGATGCTATCCTCAAGATAGTCCAGTTTTTTTTCTCTCAATCTTCTTCTTTGTATTTTCCTCCCTGCCCATGGTTTCAAGAGCCACATAGATCTCATATTTCACAAATCTAATTTCCCCTCCCCAGTATTCACCTAAATACCTGCCTACCAGATAGTTCCACCTTGAAGTCTATCAGTCACCTCAAACTCAAAGAGCTCAAAACCAAACTCATGGGGGACCAGCAGTTAGCATAATGGCTATGTTGCTGGACTCTCACGTAGTCGACCGCGGTTCGAGTCCCAAACCCGGTGGCTTAAACTCACGCCGGGCGCGTGTGCGTGCATGCCCAAGATTCTGAGAGGAGAATGGAGAGAACGGATTGCAGCATGGCCATCCCCTCTGCGGAGTGATTTCTCGCTTTCTATCTCTCTATCTCTCTCTGTCTGTCTGGCAAGCGCACGCACCCTATAGCAAAAACCTCTCCAGAAAAAAAAAAAAAAAAAAAAAAAAAACACAT